GTGTGCTAAGTTGCTTCAATCATGTCTGACTCTTTGCCACCCTGTGGACTATAGTCCCCAAGGCTCCTCTGTCCATGGGATTCTCCAGGCAATAATACTGGAGTGGCTTGCCATTTCTGTCTCCAGATCTTCCTGACCCAGGGATCGGACCCTCATCTCTTATGTCTCCTGCACTGACAGGCAAGTTCTAGCACCATATGAGAAGTGTGTATTAGTCATTAGAAAAGAAATTATTAGTCATTAGAAAACTGCAAATCAAACAGGAGATACCACTTCACATCCATTAGAATGGTTACAATCAAAAGACACAATAACTAGTCTTGTCAAGGACATGGAGATATTGAAATCCTCATATACTGCTCATGAGAAAGTATAATAAAAGCTTTGGGAAACAGTTTAGCAATTCTTTAAAAAGTTAAACATAGTTACCATGTAACTCAGTGGGGCTTCCCTGATAACTGATAACACAGCTGCCTGCAGTGCAGGAGATTCCGGCTCAATTCCTGGGTGGGGAACATCCCCTGGAGAAGGGAATGGCTACCCACTCCAGAACTCTTGCCTGAGAATCCCATGGACAGAGGAGCCTGGTAGGTTGCAGTCCATGGAGTTGCAGAGTCGGACATAACTGAGTGACTAATCATACATACATATACTGCTCATGGCAAAGTATAATGAAAGCTTTGGAAAACAGTTTAGCAGTTCTTCAAAAAGGTAAACATAGTTAACACAGAATTCAGAAATTCCTCTTTTAGGTAACTGAAAGCAAATATCCACATAAGAATTATACATGAATATTTACATGAGCATTACTCACAATCACCAAAAACTGGAAATAACCAAAATGCCAACTGACATATGGACAAAATGTGGTATAATCATACAATGTAATATTATCAGCAATAAGAAATAATAAAGCTCTGAAACATGCTATAATATAGATGAATTCTGAAAAATTATGCTAACTAAAGAAAGTGAGTCACTAAAGACCACACACTATATGATTCCATTTATATATTCAGAAAAGGCAAATCCATGGTGAAAGAAAGCAGATTCATAGTTGCTTAGAGGACTGGGGATCCTGGAGGCTGGAGATTAACCACTAATGGTCATGGAGTTTCTTCTGGGGAGATGAAAATGCTCTAAAATTAGATCATTATTATGGTTGCACAATCCCATTAATATACTAAAAAAAAAAAAAAAATTGAATTATACACTTTTGAGTGAACCTGATGTTATGAGAATTATATATTATTAAGGTTTTTAAGCAGGCAAATGTTGAAAGCAAGTATACACACAAAGGTTATATAGAAAATGCAAAAATGAGTAATTATTTGATCATTCCAATAAATCCATAAATCTAAAAATGAAAATGTCTTTCAACTATGGAGCTATGTCTTTCAACAAAGACAGCCATTCTCCAACAAAATTATAGACTGTCAGTTTTCAATTAATGCTTCATGTATTGCATTTTGATGATGCAGTAACCAGATAGTAGTAAAGTAGAACCTATTAGATATACACCTGAAATCTAGAATCAGCATTTACAAGATGGATATGCCCCAGGTTCATACATGACAACTAACGTATACCTAGTTAAATTCAGAAGACAATGCCCTTATTGGGTACAGTTCAGTTCAGTTACTTAGTCATGTCCAACTCTTTGCGACCCCACAAACTGCAGCACGCCAGGCCTCCCTGTCCATCACCAACTCCCTCTCATATCCATTGAGTCGGTGATGACATCCAACCAACTCATCCTCTGTCGTCCCCTTCTCCTCCTGCCCTCAACCTTTACCAGCATCAGGGTCTTTTCAAATGAGTCAGCTCTTCGCATCAGGAGGCCAAAGTATTGGAGTTTCAGCTTCAACATCAGTCCTACCAATGAACACCCAGGACTGATCTCCTTTAGGATGGACTAGGTGAATTTCCTTGCAGTCCAAGGGACTCTCAAGAGTCTTCTCCAACACCATAGTTCAAAAGCATCAATTCCTCGGCACTCAGCTTTCTTTACAGTCCAACTCTCACATCCATACATGACCACTGGAAAAACCATAGCCTTGACTAGACGGACCTTTGTTGAAAAAGTAATGTCTCTGCTTTGTACTATGTGTCTAGGTTGGTCATATCTTTCCTTCCAAGGAGTTAGCATCTTTTAATTTCATGGCTGCAATCACCATCTGCAGTGATTTTGGAGCCCAAAAAATAAAGTCAGCCACTGTTTCCNATTTGCAGACACTGAGTGTAGCACTTTCACAGCACCATCTTTCAGGATTTGAAATAGCTCAACTGGAATTCCATCATATCCACTAGCTTTGTTCATAGTGATGCTTCGTAAGGCTCACTTGACTTCACATTCCAGGATGTCTGGCTCTAGGTGAGTGATCACACCATCGTGATTATCTGGGTCATGAAGATCTTTTTGGTAGTTCTTCTGTGTATTCTTGCCACCTCTTCTTAATATCTTCTGTCAGGTCCATACCATTTCTGTTCTTTATTGAGCCCATCTTTGCATGAAATGTTCCCTTGGTATCTCTAATTTTCTTGAAGAGATCTCTAGTCTTTCGCATTCTATTGTTTTCCTCTATTTCTTTGCATTGATAGCTGAGGTTTTCTTCTCTCCTTGCTATTCTTTGGAACTCTGCATTCAAGTGGGTATATCTTTCCTTTCTCCTTTGCTTTTCACAGCTATTTGTAAGGCTTCCTCAGACAGACATTTTGCTTTTTTGCATTTTTCTTGGGGATGGTCTTGATCCCTGTCTCCTGTACAATGTCACAAACCTCCGTCCATAGTTCATCAGGCACTCTTATCATCAAAGCATGAAAATATGAAACACATATTTGAGTTTGCTATTTTCTAACTATTTAAAATTCTAATAAAGTCCCTTACTATCTTTTAAAATATTTTATTCAGTATTCAGTGACAAAGCATTTTAAAAAATGGACACAGATGGTAAATTATGTTACTGTTTTCCCCTGTAAACCGATACAGATATTGGCTGAGACTATTTCTTGCCTTTGGATATTTTTAACTCAAGTTCGCTCTTGTCTCCTCTGACAACTCTCTTATGATTTTCCCTTTCCCATATTGAGGCATAAAAACACTGTTGTTTTTCCTGCCTAAACTCTGGGTTGTTTTATGGAAAAACGGTAATAGGCAAAATTAAGTTTGTGTGGCACTCTACAAATTTTAAATAATTCAAAACTATTCTAAAAGCTCTTTTTAAAAATCAAACTTAAAAAAATCGATGAATCAAGAGTTCAGCTTTCCTAGATTAAACTGTAAGTAAAAATTAATAAAATGTTTCAATGTGTCTTTGTTCCTTCAAGCTGCTATAACAAAATAACTACAGACTCAACACCATGTAATCAATAGAAATTTCTTATAGTGCTGGAGGCTGGAAGTCCATGATCAAGATGCCAATATGGTCAGCTGAGAGCCCTCTTCCAGGTCACAGACATCTCCATATATCCTCACATGGCAGGAGGGACCTTTGGGAGGAAAATGGTCTCAGGAGTTTAAAGGAACAGTTATTAAATCTTTTACTTTGGAATTTGACTCTAAACCTTTAAACTCCTGAGACCAATTTCCTCCCAAAGCCTCCTTCTTATAATTTGAATTTTCCTCATATCATTAGCCCCAATCTTCATTATTGCAAAAGCTGTACTCCAAGTCAACAAAGTACTTCTGCTGTAATCATTACAGCATTATCTGCTAAACCAAGTGCACCAGGGTGGAACAAATGCTGGACTTATTCTCACTGTACTGGTCATTTTCTCCAAGACTTCCCAGACTTCTGTGCAGGAACTAGCTCCACTAAGAATGTGTCCACCTCAAGGAACAATTATTGGCTTACTCCTGTTATGATACTATATTTCTGATATCATCTGTAACTCACCAGGAATTGCAACATCAATACCAGGCTTTTGCCCACCTCTTACAGGTAAACAATCTGCCTGCCAATGCAGGAGACACAAGAGACACAGGTTTGATCCCTGGGTTTGGAAGATCTCCTGGAGGACGAAATGGCAAACACCCCCATATTCTTTTGGGGATTCCGTGATGACTCAGACAGTAAAGAATCTGCCTGCCATGTGGGAGACCTGCATTCAATCCTTGGATTGGGAAGATCCCCTGGAGAAGGGAATGGCAACCCACTCCAGTATTCCTGCTTGGAGAATCCCATGGACAAAGGCTACAGTCCACGAAGAGTTGGACATGACTGAGCAACTAACAACACTACACCCAAACTGGGTATGACTACCTATCCCAACAGCAAGAACAACATAATCAGAAAAGTAATCCAAATTTTGCCTAATGTTCTGCTGTGGAAGCCCAATAAACCGGTTTAAATACACTACCCAGGGGCTGTCATGGACAATCACATAGTCTTTTCCTCTTGGCAAGCCAAGGGATAGTTTTGTATGTAGTTAATACTTACTGTTATATCTCTGTAAAGATCACCAGACAGGTGAGATCCTGGTGGTATTTGGTCAATGGGGATCACCAGTGTGAGTCAAAGGTTTTCCTCTGAATGAGACACAAAGGCTTTATCTTCATACATAAAAGTAAGAAATCCTATATTCTATACAAAAGTGCCTAACATTATCAATATTAAATAAAACCTGAACAATCTTAATTATGGGAGTTTTGTTAAAAATGTATGAATTTGCTGATATAAAAAGTGACAACCACTTTGTTAACTGAAAACTTTTTTTTTGGCCGCCCCATAAGGCTTATAGGATCTTAGTTCCCAGACCAGGGATTGAACTCCAGGCCACAGAAGTGAAGGCTCCTAGTACTAACCACTGGACTGCCAGGGAACTCCCCTGAAACAACTTTTACTCTTAAGAAATACTAACTGAAAATAATTTCTCCATATGTAAAAATGTATATTGGATATCTTTTTCCAAAAATCTCCAAATTTTGATGTTTGATTTTCATTAATTATTTTAGCAAATTCCACTGTAAATATAAACAAAAGATTATAAATGCAATGCATTTGGCACACTATTGTGAATATGCTTTATTTTTAAGTAAAACATGAATCACAGCCCAAACAAAATGTTTTACCTCCTGAGTATTTTAAGCTTACGGGAAAGGAGTCATTAATGATGAACATGTTTTCATTTTTCAATGTTTTTAATTTTTTATAAAGATCTTAATTAAACTTCATAGTCACTAAGCAGTTTTTAAACTTAGGTTTCACTGATCCTTTTGACTTCATGCTTTCAAATAGTCATTATCTTCAAAACATGACAAATTTCAGAATCCATTAAAAATTATTTTATTCAAATTATGTTTTCCAAAAGAGAGGGTTCTGTGCTAGTCGTCTTTGAAAGTTTTCATACCTACAAAAGAAGAAACATCTTTATAAGAAATTTAATTAGAATCTTTCATAATCTTACAAATAACTCATCAAAAAGCAAATAACTTTACATGTCACTTCTAAAAAGCCAAGATTAAAAACCTAGAAAGTTAAAAAGTTAATTTGGGAGCTTAATTATTAATGTATAAGAAGACAGCAAGCAGAGTGATTTAACTGGCTATATCACAAAGCACATATCATAATACATTTTATTATCTTTGGCAAATCTGAGAGCTAGAAGTGACCTAAGAAAAAATGAAATCTAACTCCCCCACCCTCATTTCATAGATGAGAGTGATCTGCTCAAGGTCACATAGCTTAACAAAGCTCAAACCTCACACATTCCAGGCCAGTCCATGCTACACCATGCTACCACTTCTCAACAGTCTCCTTATGTGTCTCCCTAACACTGGGATAGTCAAAGTGAAAAGAAACATCTATAAAAGAGAAACGGAGGAAAGCTGAAGAAACAGATTTATTAATCATTTATATACAGGGTACAGTATAAACCACTCTGATGTTTCATACATGTTTATTTTAGATCAAGACTTTCTAAACTTAGGAAAAAAGTTTTCATTGATATTTCACGCCTCATATATGGTACTTAAAACTCAAGCATATATATACTTAGATACTTAGATAGATAGATAGATAGATAGATAGATAAGATAGATAGATAAAAGATACAGACCTTAATTGTGGTCCCTAAAACATAAGTAACTGTATTTTCTGTGTTTATAAAGCCAAAATGGCTACTATATAACAGAATATTATTTGGGACAGAAATTTTTCCTAATCTGAACTCTAAAGTACATACTATTTAATGGCATGCAAATGTTAATGTAGGCTAATATCCACTATAAAAGAAAATGTTTAAACTTCAAAGAAGAAATACATTCACAAGCAAAATATATATGGTTTACTCAAAGCCTTACTATGAGAGCTACATAATGCCCCATACCATTTCAGAACCACATTTGCTGGAATGAACATTTCAGATGGACTTGGTGTCATCTGGGCCTGAGAGACAGCAAATGATGAAGCAAAATTGTAGAAGTTGTCCAGCATCTTTTGTGTGAACTAAAAGTTAATAATAAATAGATTAAAGGGTTGTACTAAATACCGCAATATTTTAAAATATTAAACTCTAATATTTTTATTTTAAAATGTTGTTGCACTCTCTTGGTTTAAGGACTAGGAGTTGTTAAGTCTAATGCTGACCACTAAGGAAGTCATAAAATGACACTAGTGCACAAAAGCATAACCATCTGCCTTTAGTACTATCCTTATATCTCAAAGAATTTCTATGACTTTCAACTATTTTTAAGTTTCTAAAAAATTCATTTTATCAAAAAAAAAAAGATAAAATTTTTTTCCTTCAAAATATCTTCTTTTATCTCCACCTCTGCAGATTCCCCTCTCCTCAAATACCACCCTGGTCAAATCAACCTGTTTCCTCATCCAAAACAGTAACCATACTTAGAGTCTTTTTCTTGCCAGAAAAATTTTTAAAAAGTATATAAAAGGAGCAACTGGTTACTTGCCATCAATTACAAAGATGATACTATTCCACTTCTATCTCCTGGCCTGTTTACTCTAACTGACCTTCAAATGGGCAAATCCACTAAACACCCTCCAGGTTTCCTTGGTAGAAGCCAGAAGCACATGGATTTACATTTCATGAGCATCAAATAGGTTTAAGCACTAAACCCAAAATTAATGAATTACTAACAATAATAATATCTTTTATTAACCCAAAAATAATCTTCCAAACATCACTTTCTCAGAAACACAAAACTAGCCATAAAGATTCTTGCTGACTCTTTTCTACATGAGAAGAAACATGTTAACAGGGTTTTTAATAATATCGAGATAATTTAACCTAAGAGACTCTACTGTTAAGGTACTTGAACCAATATGAGAGTTCAGTAAGAGCATGGACTAAAAGTTGAGTATCAAGAGAAAAAAAACCAACAGCAACCCTCCATACAAGCAACAAAAAATTTTTAATGTAATTTTAAGAAGATCTGAGTCATGACAGAAAGTCTGTAAGATACCTAGGGGAAATGGTAAGACAAGCTGACAATAAGGTATTTGTGGGAAATATTTAAAAGTGTATTGACAGACAAGAAAGAAAACGAATGAAAGGACTTTTTTTAACCACACTGAGTGGAAAGATACCATGTGTTCATGAATGGTAAGACACAATGTAATAAAGGCACATTAAAACCTATAAATCCAACGTTATTTTCAACTACATTCCAACATGATTTTTCATGGCACTTGACAAGCTGATGCTAAAATTATTATGAAAAATACTCAGGCTTGTTTTGATGATTAGGAGGAAAGTCTTGGCCTACCAGATATAACTGGCAAAGGGACAGGCAAACAAACTAACTGAAATAAAATGGAGAGCCCAGAAACAAACGTTAAGTATATGTGACACATGACATACAACAAAGATGCTATTACTGAATTTAAAAAAAAAAAAAGTATGTAGGAACTTCCCTGGAGGTCCAGTGGTGAGGAATCCGCCTTGCAATGCAAGAGACACAGGTTCAATCCCTGGGAGGGAAACTAAGATCCCAATGCCAAGCAACTAAGTCCACAAACCACAACTAGTGAACCTGCAAGTCTCAACTGGAGATCCGGGAGGTTGCAAGGAAGATCCCACAGGCCACAATGAAGACCAGACACAGCCAAATTAATTAATTAATTTAAAAATAGGGACTGGGCTTCCCTGGTGGTTCAGCAGTAAAGAGTCCACCTACCAATGCAGGAGACATGGGTTCAATCCCTGATCTGGGACGATGCCACATGCCGCAGAGCAACTACACCGCAAATGAGCCCACAGTCTGCAACTACTGAAGCCTACATGCCCTAGAGCCTGTGCTCAACAATGAGAGGGCACCACAATGAGACACCCACGAGCTGCAAATACAGAAAAGCCCGCTTAGCAACAAAGATCCAGCACAGTCCAAGATGAATAAATAAAAATTTTTTAAAAGATGTATTTGCTTTAAAATAAGAGTTCCAAGAGGAATATTTCCAAGACAAATTTTAAATTGCTATAAATATATATAAAGATATTGAATGGGAATTTATATTTGGAAGAGTTTGAGCATAAATTATTAGAAATGGAAACATAGAAATCCATGCAAAGGAAAAAATGACAAATTTATTAACCAAGAAAAATAAAAAGTTATATAGGACAAGAAATATAATCATAAACTCGTAACACATGGCTCAGCTCTGAAAAATATTTACCAGGTCATAATACTGAAAATTTGGAATCTTAACTTGAAGACCTATATTGGAAAGGAGGGGAGAAAAGATACCTGTATATGCTGGGGAGCAGAAGATTAAGAGAGCTAAACCATGCTGGGCTTCTGCTTATGCTCAGTCACGCAGTCGTGTCCGACTCTGCGACCCCATGGACTGCAGCCCACCAGGCTCCTCTGTCCATGGGATTCTCCAGGCAAGAATACTGGACTGGGTTGCCATGCCCTCCTCCAGGGGATCTTCCCAACCCAGGGATCAAACCCAGGTCTCCCGCATTGCAGGCGGATTCTTTACCATCTGAGCGACCAGGGAAGCCCTTAAATCATGTTATGTATTGATAACTCAATGGAAAATACCTGTAACAAATAAATCAATAAAGACTCAACAAGTTTCTTCTGACACATGGAAGTAAATACAAGAAGAAAAAGCGGGAGGTTGAAAGTGACTGCTGCTGAGGAGCAGAATAAGAGCAGAATATTAAGAGGTACAATAGAGAACAGCTGTTTTCCATGTAAAACTGACTTTCTCAATCATGTGCTACCGATAAAAACTAAAATCAAGTAAGAACTAAAGGCATAAATTAGAAACATGTTTAAACATACATACAAATTGTACTATACATATTTTGTGAAAAAAACAAAATTTTTTAAAGTACTGAAATAGGAAAGGTACATAAAGTTAGAAGAGTAGCTACTTGGACAGGGAAAAAGAGAAGCAGAGAACAGTGGATTGTAACACTTCATATAACTTCTTAACTAGTATAAAATATAGCAAAATATAACAGTTAAATCTAAGTGGAAGACTGTGTGCATGTGTGCCCCTTAGTCCTGTGGGACTCTCTTCAATCCCATGGACTGTAGCCCGCCAGGCTCCTCTGTCCATGGGATTTCCCAGGCAAGAACACTGGAGTGGGCTGCCATTTCCTTCTCCAGGGGATCTTTCCAACCCAGGTAAAGAAGCTGGTCTGCTGCATTGCAGGCAGATTCTTTACCTTTTGAGCATTAGGGAAGCCCAGGAAGATACATGGAAGTCTGCAAATATGCCCCACTATAAACAGAGCCCTACAAGGTCAGGTACCATTTTATTTTGATACCTGGTTTTATCTATTTGTTCTTTAAAAATGCCTGGCACACAAAATGTACACAATAAATATCTGTGGAATGTACTTTTCTATATATTAAAATATTTCATAAAAAATATATATGCTTAATAAAAAGGTCAAATTTATTATAGAGTTAAAATGTCTTCCTGCCCCTCTCCAGGGATAACATCAGTTTGGCATGTATTTTCCAGACATTTTTCACATACAATTTATATGGAATAACTGTTTAGTATTGCTTTGTAACTTGCTTTTCTCAGCACAGTTTTTTTTTTTAATTACTGACAAAAATTTTAAAACCCAGACTGTCATTCTTAACTCGGCCCATTCTCCAGAGATTGCATGACAAGGTGGTTCTTAAATTCACATCCACAGTTCTTAAAAGTATGCTGTCCAGCAAGCCCAGAGGTTTCCCTAGTCCATTCATGCTCCTCCTCTCCTAGAGGACTTATTTAACAATCCTTCTGTTTTAGATTGTACTGGAGTGGGTTTCCATGCCCTCCTCCAGGGGATCTTCCCAACCCAGGGATTGAAACCAGGTCTCCGACACTGCAGGTAGATTTTTCACCATCTGAGCCACCAGGGAAGCCCTTGGTTTACATTTCCAATATTTCCTTTCCCCTCAATCCTGGCTGACGATCTTGCTTCCTATTTCACTAGAGAAGGAACTGAGAGAGAACCTGCGCCAGTTCTCTTCAGCACGTTTGCTAACCTGCTGCGTCTCTCTATCCATACTGTAAACATTGCCCATTATCCTTTCTATTCCTTCCTAATACAGTCTACTTCCTACTCAAGGATACCACTTTCACAAGTCTCCCCACTCTCCTGCATCATCAATTTTTCTCTCACAAATGCTTTACTGCTGTCAAACATGACATAATATCTATTAAAAACAGAAAAAAAAATTTTCCTTGTCCCCACAGCCCTCAAGCAACCACACCACTCATCTGCTGTCCTTTGTAACAACACTCACTAAGAGTCATCTATAGTCACTATTTCCATTTCCTCTTCTCCAAGTCACTCAACCTCACTCCAAACTCCCTTTCCACCTCTGTGAATTCTTGTCAAAGTCTTTAATGACTTCTACCCTGCCAAGTCCAATCGTTAATTCTTACCCTTCATTTACTTGATCCATAAGCAGTCAATACTACTGATCACTTCTTCCTTCTTAAAAGCCAGTCTTGAAAACTGTATATATCTTATGTTGAATTGGTTCATTGTGTTTTTCAGGTCTACTATATCCTTCTACTTCTCCATATATTCATTCTATTAAGTTTTGAGTTTGATGTTGAAATCCCAACTAAAAATCTTTTATCTACTTAAAAAAAATAATTGTAATATACAGTGGAATTATATATAACTTTGTTGTATGTATTTTCCAAATCTCCTGTAAATGTGCTATCATATCTTAATTTAAAGAGGTAAAAAAAAAAAAGTACTTCTCTTTCAAAATACCATTTTGGGGGGTCGCCTCCTACTTTAGGTGTTCCTTTCCTTTTATTCCTCCTGATCTCTTAAGCATCTCAACTTTGAAATGGCCTCAAGCTCTGTCACTGGCCAATTTTTCTGTTTATAGTTATTTCTCAGTGATCACATTTCCTCTCCAACTTTAAATACCACTGCTACACTGAGGGCACCCAAATTTTTATCTCTCATGAACCTGCCACCTCCAGCTATCTATCTAATAGGCATCCCAAACACAGTACAACCAAAACTCAACTCCTGATTCCACTCCCAGCCTATACTTGTTCTTTGCACAATATTCCTGTGTTCCAGCCCCTGGAACCAGCATCCTTACAGCCACAGTTGATGTCTCTCTCTCAGACTTTACATGTGATTCACACTGTTGAGACAGCATTGGCCCCATATTCAAATTATCTCCAGAAGAGATATCAACTACTTTTCACCACGTCCATTTGTACTCCCCATTAAACTCTCACCGAGATTTTCACAAGAGACTCCTAACTGTTCTTTCTCCTTCCATCTTTGCCTCATTACAGTTTCTCTCCAAAGATGCAAAAGTGATCCTTTAAAAATGTAAGTTAGATCATATTACTCCCCTGCTCGAAAGTTTGTTTTGTCCTCCAAAAAGAACTTAAGCCAAAGTCCCTACAAAAGCCAATAAGATTTCATATATGGAATCTCATTATGGGGGAGGCGCTTAACCATAATCTCCAACTTCTTCTCCCATCTCTCCCCCTTGCTCACTCTACTCCAGCAACAAATTTTCACTTTATTTTTCAAACATAACAACCACTGGGCCTTTGTATTAGCTATAACTCTGCCTAAATCATTCTCCCCTCAGGCCTTTGCCTTATAGATTAAAAGTCAACCCTTATGAAATTATGTGATTTTAAGCAACATGAGGACCAGAATCTTGCTTATTATCAGGTTCACAACTATACACCCACAGTCTAGCATATTAATTGTGGGAGGAAACGGGGGGGAAAAGTTAATATTTAAACTCATTTAAAAAAATCACTTTGAGCTATTTTATGACTGTAAAAACTAAGTATCATCAAAGCATTTATGAATTTTAAAATACCTATATAGAAGGGAGACAAACTGAAAATATTCACGGAAGCCAATAATTTACGTCATACGTGTTTACCTTCATTTTTACATGAATTCTGCCACAGGCTGTTTTATGAAGTATAGAATGTGATTTGTAAACTATCTTAGAAAATGAAAGGTGCATTCCATTACCTGAGTGAATGAATCAACTGAGGAGACCGCAGCGTTGCCCACAGGAGTCTGCTGAGCCAGGCTGTCCAGCAACTCCACTGAGATCCCAATCTGAGCGACAGATGGAGTCCGGACAATGTTCATGGCTCCAAAGGGGTGTTGGCTTCCTTCTCCTGAAAGAAATTAACGTGTGCCACATATTTCAAACTTAACTTGTATAAATTCCTTCCTAAAGATGTGAAGAACCGCTGATTTATATGCACTAAGAAGTTCTGTCACCTGAAAGTTTGTCTTTTCTCAGATAAATGTAAAAAGATGCCTCTGTGTGTGTGTGTGTGTGTGTGTGTGTTAGTTGTTCAGTCGTGTCTGACTCTTTGTAACCCCATGGATCATAGACCACCACCAGGCTCCTCTGTCCATGGGATTCTCCAGGCAAGAATACTGGAGTGGGTTGCCCTTCAAGGGATCATAGAACCTGGGTCTCCTGCACTGCAGGCAAATTCTTGGCCGTCCGAGCCGCCCGGGAAGCCCAAAAGGATGCCTAGTTCTTACCATGGTAAGAAAACTGAAATTTTCCCCATCAGAAAAACAGCTGTTACTTTTCTAAAAACTTCTAAAGTTATTACAGCTAGAAATGGAGATTAACAGAGTAAGACAAAAATAAATGAGAATTAGATAAAGATTCTCAATGCTGTGATGAAAGGATATCTTTAAAGATTTTTAGAATTAGTTTTAATATTTTCTGATTATTCTACAAAAAAAGAGCTCTCAATTGCCACTATGAACAATGACATGGCATATTTTACTACATGTCATGACTTGCCCCACTCAACACCTGAGGATCTATTATCAAATAGGCAATAAAGAAATTTGCAACATACTCAGAAAATAATAATTTTCCACTTTACAATATATCATTTATAAATATATATATAATACATCATAAATACATAAAACAGATTACATGTGTATTTGATCTACCTGATCCTCTAAGTGTCAGCTAACTTAAACATGAAAGATCAGTTTTATTAACCCATATAAAACAATCATGAAAGAAGAAAAAAATACAATGAATAGATTAGCGGTTTATCTGCTCTTTTAATAGGACTATAATATATCTAAACTAATACTACAGAATGAAAATCTGGGACAACATGCATTCCTAATAACCAGAACATTCACTCAAAGTATCAAAACTCTTAAATTTTCAGGTATATGAATACAAAAACCTACAACTGTATGTTTTTGTGCTTTAAAAGTACACACACACACTTCACTAAATGTGACTGGTTTAAGATATTTTCAGTGTTTTATTTTTCTGAATTTCCTCATATTTGTACATTTTCCAGGTTTACTTCTACTATTTCTGTCAATGTGGTCTGACAACATATTCTGCAACTTTTTAAAACATACCAAGATTTGTTTTGTGGCCTGATGTGTCAAGGAAATGTTCCATAGGCACTTGAGAAGAATGCATATTCTGCTGCTATTGAACAGAATGTTCTGCTATGTCTAATCAAGTTTATAGTGTTGTTCAAATCTTCTATTTCTTTGATGATCTTCTGTCTAGCTGTTCTGTCCATATTTAAAGTAAGGTACTGATGTTCTCAATTACTGCTGAACTGTTTATTTCTCTTTTCTAGTCTGTCAATACCTGATTTATGTATTCTGAGGCTCTTTTAGGTGCACACAAGTTTGCAACTGTTATATCTTTTTGAAAGACTGACCTTTTGATTTCGGTTTGCATATATATTTTTTCATCCTTTACTTCCAACTCATTTATCTCTCTGAATCAATAGTTGAACCATGTCTTTTAATCCATTCTGCATATCTCTGCTTTTTAATTGGAGAGTTGAATTTTTTGTTAGATACTTGCCAGTGTATCATTTTAACTCCTTTTTCATAATTTTTATTATTTAAATGATTGCACTATAATTACAATTAACATCTTAATTTATAACAACTCTAATCTGGATTAGTATCAGTTTCAGTATACAAAACAGTTTCGTTTCAGTATACAAAGTTCAGGATACAAAGACTTTGCTCCTATGTGACTGCTTCTCTTCCTTATGTTCTTCATTGTCACTAATCACATCTTCATACGTAGTATATCTATGTTGTGGTGTTGTTAGTCACTAAGTCATGTCCGACTCTTTTGTGACCCCATCAGGCTCCTCTGTCCATGAGATTTCCCAGGCAAGAATACTGGAGTGGGTTGTCATTTCCTTCTCCAGGGGATCTTCCCAACCCATGCATTGAACCCGCATTCTCCTGCGCTGGCAGGCAGGTTCTTTACCACTGAGTTACCAGGGAAGCCCACTATATCCATAAGCAGACAATGTTTTATGTCATTATCTTTTATATCAACCAGGAAGAGCAGAGTTACAAAGTATGTATTAATACTGACTTTCATAATTATCTGTGTAGTTACCTTTACCTGTGTTTTTACTTAACATGTATTTCAATTACGTCTCAGGTCTCATTTCAGCTTGAAGGACCCCATTTAGCACTTCCTGTAGGGTTAGTCCTCTAGTCATGATTCTCTCAATTTCTGTTGATCTGGGAGTATCTTTATTTCGCCTTCATTTCTGATGGCTACAGAATTCTTGATTGACTTTTTTTCAGTACTTACATACAATATGTCAGCCTACTGCCTCTGGACTCAATGTTTCTGATGAGAAAACAGCTGTAACTTCATAAGGACCCTTGTACATGATGAGTTGCTTCTCTAGTCAGTTTAACATGTCCTGAAGCTAATCCTACTTGAGTTTGTTGAGCTACTTAAGTGCACATTAATGTTTTCATCAAATTTAAGAGTTTTCAGGTGGTATTTCTTCAAGAATTCTTCCCATCCCTCTCTCTCTCCTCTTCCTCTGGGGCTCCCAACACTGACACGCTTGACAGTGTCTCACGGGTCTCTAAAGCTCTGTTCATTTTCCATTCTTTCAGCTCTTCAAACCTGATATTTTATCTATTTTCAAATTCACTGATTTGGGGGGGGGGGCTACTCAAATCTGCTACTAAAACCCACTAGTCAATTTTACATTTCCATTACTGTACTTTTCCACTCCATAGTTTACTTCCTTTTAAATTTTTTTTAAATTTTTCTTTTTTCTATTTGATGATATATCATTCTCCTGATTTCCTTTAGCTCTCTGAGCATGTCTGAGACATTTCCTTAAAGTCTTTGATGATTATGTCCAATGTCTCTACTTCCTAGGTAGTTTCTAGTCATTTCTTCTGTGAAAGGGGCTTGTTTCTTGTATGCTTCATAGCTTTTTGTTGAAAACTAGATATTGAATAATTGACAACTCTAGCAATCAGATGTTTCACCCCTTCTTAAGGTTTCTTGCCAATGTTTGTTGTAGCTTTCTTGTTTAATGATTTTTCTGAACTAATACTATAAAGTCTTTTTTTTTTTTTTTATCATTTGTGACTACTAAAGTCCCTTTTCAGCTTAATGATCAGCTAGTGAATGGAAAGAGATTGCCTTAGAAGCCTGGAATCAAATTCTCCCAATGTTTTGCAGGTGGGCTCCATGTGTTGAGACTTGATTTCAAAACTCATGCCTTCCAAGGTCAGCCAGCAGTGAGACCTTAGGACCTTCTTAGATCTTTCCCAAGCATGTGCATAGCCCTGGACACCCATGTGGTCATTTAGATTCCTAGGAATTCCCAGGTCAGAGAATTTCAAAGCCCTTGTTTCCTAAGTATCTTATTCCCAGCCTTCCCTTCCAAACTTTTTGGTTAGTCTGATGTTTTCCCCAACTGTTGACACTTTCTCAGGCATCAATGACCTGTAAATATTTGTAATATATATACAAATATTAATTTACCTGTAAACATTTTTGACAAACCCTGGCAAGAAGTCGCTTTAGCAGTGGAAGAGTTCCACGTTAAAGGACAGAAAGGCAAGCCTTTTGAACCTGTCTTTCAAAGAATCAAATAACTCAATAAGTTAATTACAATTAATTGTGAATGACATCCATTCTGCTCCTTCTGGTATCGGTACCAATACTGAGAACATGGTCTGTTACTTTCAAGGCTACCACTGAGCAGATGAAAAAGGGCTGACTGAGATCAGGGCGGATTAAAATACCACAAAGCTCACTGTTCGCACAGAGATTCGGTGTTTTTTCTTAATAAACGTCCCTCTAGTTGTGACAAGCCTTTGGTTAGTTTCCAGGGGCCTGAAAAAGTTGATTCTGAGAGTTTCTGCCAGTTTTTTTGTTGTTATTGGTGTTGTTGCTTTTATGGAGGGATAAATTTTGGAATCCCCTTCTCCATCATTTTAACTGTTTTAAGCTGAGAATCATGCTAAGCCCAGAAAATGCACTGCTATTTGTCTGTGTATCAGGCTCAGGAAAATGACTCAATACACTTGCCTTAGTTAAAATCACCCAGGGAGTGATATGCCCAAGCAGAAAGCCTTGTCATCTTTAATCTCCACCTTTTATCATACAGAAGTTCTTGGCAAATGAGTGGGGTCCTAACTAAAGCTGTCTAAGACCCACTGTAAAAACTGGGGCTAAGCAAATATTCTGACTTTTTCATTTTAAAGCTCTGTGGAAACAAGACAATGTAAGGAGGGGAAATAAACCTCCAAGTCTTCAATAATCTTTAATCAATATTTTCAAAGAAATCTACTGTGCAATTAAGCCATTCCTTTAGTCGATTTTATTCTCAAAACAGGTTTGACACAGTAGTTGATACCCTCCAAGTACTAAAGTTCTTGTTTGCAAACCATAAAACAAAATACTGGGAAGAAACACTGGAACATAAAATACAAACTTACAGTGAGTGCTTAATTTTGTATATGAATTCATGATAGCTGAAGTCAAAAGAAAAACATAATCAGTTATATTGAGTCTTATAACAAAAAATTAAAAAGCAAAAACAGCGGGGAAAGTAAAACATCTGGCCTTCAAAAAAAAAAATACATTGCATAAAGTCCTCATTAACATTCCAACAGTAAAAGCAGCAGCAAATCTTTTAAGGCTGTTTCTCAAAGTATTCCTCCTCACTAACCTAACAAGGCATAACTCAAGAGGAGAAATCATATAGGAAACTAGTGTTTTACTGTTAGTATACAAGGAAAAGCAGTCATCATCATTTACTATCTGGGTCTAACTGACTCTTTTAAAAAATATATACATTTTAAGTCATTTCACAAA